TTTTGCCATTGACTTCAATGGCAAGCCAGCATTTCTCTGCTTTTGAGCCTTCCCCTTCGGGGAGACGCACCAAATGCTCAGTGTTACAATCCAGTTCCATTAGTTCTTTTTTACTGCTGCCGTATGATGTCTTTAGAGTGATGTCATCTACTTTAGTATTCCCCATGAAATAAAAGGCATGAACTAGTAGCCAAGACCTCTGTCAATTTGTGCCAATGGTGCTGTGGGAGCCAGGTTAGCCTGTCCTTCTCTTAAATCCAGCACTTGCCATGTGGAGTGAAGAGAACCTGGCCTTGAAAAGAGGTTGGATGGTGTGTGTGTGTGTGTGTGTGTGTGAGAGAGAGAGAGAGAGAGAGAGAGAGAGAGAGTTGGGGAGGGAGGTTAGTACACAAGTGAGAACTGTGGTCACTTACTTGTCTTCACCCAATGCCCCACCTTGGGTGCTTTTTTTAAAGGTCAGACGAATCCACATGTAAAGTGTTGAGAACATACCAGCCTCCTATCCAGCAGTGGATGGCATGATGGAGCTATGCTATTCACCTAACCTCCATCCAGCTGAGTTGCTGAAGCATACTGGCATGGAAACGGGCAGCGGGTTGGTGACTGTGAAGTTGTCGTGGTGCAAACACGCCAGCAGGGGCACTGGATTGGCTCCACCAGTGTGTTTGCACTGTCCCAACCTCCACACCACCATAATTCCCAGAGTGGCTTAACAATCAATTCCTCTTCACAGGGAACTCTGAGAATTCTAGATCTATGAGGGGACAGAGGACCTCCTAACAACTCTCAGCGCCCCTTAAGAAACTACAGCTACCAGAATTCTTTGGGGGAAGGCACAACTATTTAAAGTGGTCTCATCATGCTTTAAACGTATGGTGAAATGTCACCCAGGTTTCAGTTTCCTGAATGGAGTAGCAGCTTGGACTTGATGGTTTCTGAGGCCCCCTCCAACTGTGTGGTTCCATAAAGAACAGAGGAAGGAGATCTCTGGGAGCTGGGAGAGTTGTTGGACTTTCTTCCATAATCTCATCTCTTCTTATTATTATTTTAATTATACTGACAAAAACATGGGAAAACATCCCCTTTGGATTTTTTTTTTTTTAGAACCTTGCCTTTTTGTCTTAAAGTTACCCATTTTATTTGGCTAAACGATAAAACCTGAGACCCAAGGGACATGGGGCTGTTGTATTTGTGCACAAAACGGCATGTTTTACAAGGCTGTTAATACACACCTTGAGTATCTTAAGGAACAAAGATCTGCTTAATGGCCTCCTAACACATTTACTGCTACAACTTCAAGGAGTTATACATAAGTCTGTTCTACTTTAAGAGTGCAGAAACAGTATGCAAGGGGTGGGGAACATAAGTTGTGTCATGCATTAAGGTATGATGGTGGGCACTAATTTAAGAATGCAATTTCAAAGCATTGAAACCCCCAGGTACGCACTTCTGGAAATCATTTGGAGCTCATAACTACTCACTGTGATTCATGCCCCCCTTCTCTTTCCTGCCAACATTAAACTGAGAACCAGTTTGTAGAACTGTTTCAGTGCCCAGAAGTCATAGACAAAGTCCAAATCATAGGGATAACATTGTTGTACAGTATTTGGAAAACCCAGATTCAGCTGTTTGCTTATCTAGGTATCGGGGAGTGGGGGCTTGTTTCAGGTGATCCCACCCAATAGTGTGGTTGTGAAACTAAAATGCCATTCTGCACCTTATGAAAGGAGGTTATACCATATACAGTGGTACCTCGGGTTAAGAACTTAATTCGTTCCGGAGGTCTGTTCTTAACCTGAAACTGTTCTTAACCTGAAGCACCACTTTAGTTAATGGGGCCTCTCACTGCTGCTGCGCTGCTGGAGCACAATTTCTGTTCTCATCCTGAAGCAAAGTTCTTAACCCAAGGTACTATTTCTGGGTTAGCAGAGTCTGTAACCTGAAGTGTATGTAACATGAAGTGCATGTAACCCGAGGTACCACTGTAGTGGCTAAGGATATAGCTACAATGCAAGAACCCCATAGACTGAATCACACTTCAGCTACAAAACATAGCAAAACTGCCATTTTCTCAGTCCGCGGACCAAGCCACACATAACACTAATGCACCATTGCAATTTTTACAATTAATAATAGAGGGGGTTCCCATTTTCACCAGAACCACAGTGCATGGGGAAAGGAGGTTCAACACTTCCTTCACTATTGAATAAAGCTGCCACGGGTGCCAACTGATATTTGATATTTGGCATCCTGGGTGACTAACCAGTGTGTACTAATGTGGCTTTTCCTAAACCCACATTCTGAAGTTTGTAGGTATTCTCCCATATACAAGCACATCCCCTGAACGCCTTGAAAAAAAGGGTGGGAATAATCTCCATCATTGTGGTATTGTTATTCGGAGGGCATTCTGTAAATCAAAAAATAGCTGCATCAAGTAAGACAAAACCGAGAAAGGTGACAGTTTGTGTTGCATTTGTGAGTCTCTGTGTGTGGAATTGTGTGTGTGTGTGTGTGGTGCTGGTTCTGTTGTAAGAGGTTCCATTGGTTTGTACTGCAGCGATTTTCAGGTCATTTTCAAAGTGATTCCAAGTGCATATATTTATTGTGGGGAGGGGACGACGACAATTACAGTGGTATTTAGAGAGTTCATTAGTGACCTCTTCTGGCTATGTTAGTGAATGGCAAGGGATGTTTCTTTAAAAAGAAGAAGCCCAAATTGTCTGGTGTGATTCTTGTGTAGGTTAACACCTTGATCTCCAAGAACAACAGATTAAGCCGGAGTGACTGTGGTTGTATCTTATATTGTGTGATCCCACTTGTGTCTTCCTCAATGACTAGGAAACAAAAATAGTTTCTACTAATTCTGATGGATACAGACCTGTCCAAGCCAACTCTTATGGCCTCAGCTCAGAATGATACGTACAGTTATATATTTCACCTTTCTCTCAAGTTGCCCAAGACAGTGTTTATCCTGATAACAGGCTCTGTGAACAAGGTTAGACCAAAAGTGCCTGGGACCAAGGTCACCCAATGAACTTGAATCAAGGCATCTCCAGCCACTCACATATAACCCACCTTTCCTGCATGGTTCTCCCATTCTTCCCCAATATATTGCCACAACAACCCTGTGAGGTAGGTTAGGCTAAGAGCCCATGACTGGCCCTAGTTCACCCAGTGAGCTTCAATGGCTGAGTTAGAATTTGAACCCAGATTTTCCCAGTTCAACATTGCAACCACTGCACACTCATCCTCAAAAGGAGCATCAGATACCACACAGCTAGGTGATAGCAGACTCCGGCTTCCTCCACCCCACTCTTCCCTTCAGTGCAGCGGAAGAGACCTGGTGTGGCAGAACTGAACTGCCAAGACCCAGGAACAAAAATGTAGCATGACAGCATCAAAGGAAGATGCCAATATCAGATCATATGGGACTGGAATTAGTAAATAATTGTCCCCTTCCACTATATCTATGAAGTCATCAGCACTGGACCAGGACTATCACGAACCAACAAGGCAGCCACCTTGGGTGCAGACCTCAGAGGGGTGCAGGACTGGCATTTGAGGGTCACAGTTTCATACAGAGTAGTATTTCTTATATATTACACAACTCTGATAATATTTAAATTTTATTTTCTATTTTGAATAATTTTATCATTTTTAAAAGTCATTCATACATTAAAAGTGTTGTCTGGAAGCAACTACGTAGTTTCTTCATTTCGATTCAACAGACCTATAATTATTTACCTGCATCAACAGGGAAATAATTATTGCATTGGCAAATTCTAACTATCCATGTATCAGACTTAGGCATAAATGCTAAGCCACTGAGTGAAAGAGTCAGAGCAATGCTTTGAAACCACTGAGATATTATCTTGGTAGCATATATGCTGCTTTAATAGAGATTTTGATGACACAAGTCTAAAAAGTTTATTTGGAAATACTGAAGCTAAGATCCTTGCTGATACATTTTGTAAATTTGTTGTGTCCCTTGTTACATGCTTCCCTGAAGCTGAAACACACATAAATCAAATTAAAATATATGGTAACAGAGCCCTGTAATAAATGGCATGCTTGTGATTCTGCTGGAAGAAGTGTCCCACCTGCTTTAGCTGCTACAAGCAAATTCACACAAGCAATAATTCCTGACGGAGTCAAAAGATGTGCAAACGATTTAAAAACACACAATCTATGCTCCATTATAGCACCAGGTGGCGCCAGGTAACCTGAAATTGTGAGCTTCAAGCGGCAATACTAAGAGTAAATCAGGCAATTCCTCTTCTCTTCTGCCTGTGCTAGTGGTGATCTAATACTTTTTGCAGCTCCTGGTGACTTAAATGTCACCCCAGGACCTTTTGCAATGCTACAGGCAACGCTGGAAAATAATTCCTAAGTGTATGTCTTCATCCATCCAAACTATATCCTACCTTTACATTTGCTCATTGCAGCTAACAAAATTAATTTTCCCAGAACGGTGTCCTACAAAAATGCTGTTTTCCATACATATTTTTTCTTTTTAAAAAAACTTTACTGCAAAACAATTTACATATAACAACACAGACAAACCAAGACAATGCCTCAGTGACAACTAAACATTAACTAACACCACATCGTCTAACACCACGCACACTTTTGACTTCCAATTCACCTCATTGTGCTGTCTACATATTCTTAACCTTTACACATTTCCTGTTATATCTGTTACATATCGAGAAAATTTTCTACATTTATAGTTTTCCTTCATATTCAAGATTCAATCTAGACCTGTCAGATTTGCATTTTTACAATATTGTTTGATATTCTTTAAATGTTATCCATTCTTTACACACTTTCTGGTTTGAGTTTCCTCTTATTCTCCCAGTCATTTTTGCAAGTTCCAAGTATTCTATCATCTTCACCTGCCAGTCAAGCTTTGTAGGAATTGAGTCACATTTCCAGTTTTTTGCTGGAAATAACCATAAAGATGGTTATAAAGGTTTTTTTTTTGCTGTTTTCCATATTTTGGGGCAAGGTTTCCTGAGCACCTACTGGACCAGCTCTGTAGTTTGGGAACTGGAGGTACTGTGATATGATGGTTCCACTCCTAACTTCAGGGTCAGATGGTAGAATTGTGTTGTTCAGGTTTGTGGTGCTTGTGCTATAAGGTACTGGAGGGTTTAATCTTGTCCCCTGTGCTATTGAACATCTATATGAAGCCACAGATGAGATCATCAGTAGTTTGGAGTTGGGTGCCATCAATATGTTGGCGACACCTAGCTCTGTTTCTCTTTGACATCTGAATCAAATGAGGCTGTGCAGAATATGGACCATGTTGGGTGAAGCTGGATGAGGGCCAATAAACTGACACCTGGCAAAGGAGAGACTGTGCCCTGGTGTGGAACTTAGGTAGAAGGCCTATTCTGGATGGGGTTGAATTCCTCTCGAAGGAGGAGGCCCATAATATGGGAATGCTACTGATTCCTTCATTGTCACTGGAGGCCCAGGGGGCTTGAGTAGCTAAGTGTTCTTTTTACCAGCTTCAACTGGTTATTCAGCTTCAGTGTTTCCTGGACAGGGATATTAAAAAGGTGGTTTAAAAACCTGTTCCTATGCATCTATTAAATCTGCCTAACAATGGGATTTAAACTCTGCTACTGGGGCCCTCTGTGTGCAAACCCTGTGCTTTAAAAACAGGCACAAGCTGTTTTTCTTTTGTGTTAACCCACACATGTGGGTCTGTAGAAGATCAAATATAATTCATATATCCTCTTACTAATACCCATCAGTCTGCTGCTCTGACTCATTGTTTAACCTGCCCTTCTGATGTTGTTTTACCTACAAATGCATTGTCTTCTGTTTTAATGTATGCCAACCTTGGCATTGCTCACTCGATGAAGGGCGGGCTAGAAATCCTTCTAATAAAGAAATACTCTAAGACAGCAGGTCAAATATTTCCCTTCTTCGCTTTACAGGCCTTATGAAATGCGAACAGCACAGGATAGGAGCTGAAGAAACTCATTGCAACATGCTTATAGTCTCACTTCCTGCATATTTTCCACTCACAGTTTTCTTTCTGATGGGGTTGTGCACTCTAGTCCTAGCATGGCCTCCTGGTTAGAGATTTGGAATCAAATCCTGTAGCTATTCTGTCCTTTTGTTTGAAAGTGCAACAGACACAGGACAAGGTTGCTAGCAAGGGGGAGGAAACCTCAGGCCCATGTTGCTTCAGTGACTAAAATATCTATTCCCAACTATGGCTTTTCCTAGACTGGGATAGTCTGGTCACAATTATCCATGCTATGTTAAGTGGTTGCTAATTTTGTTCTAGACCCAATTCAAGTAATAGTGCCACTGTATTCTGCTCTGGTCAGACTTCACCTGGAGTACTGTGTCCAGTTCTGGGCACCACAGTTCAAGAAGGACACTGACAAACTGGAACGTGTCCAGAGGAGGGCAACCAAAATGGTCAAAGGCCTGGAAATGATGCCTTATGAGGAACGGCTAAGGGAGCTGGGCATGTTTAGCCTGGAGAAGAGGAGGTTAAGGGGTGATATGATAGCCATGTTCAAATATATAAAAGGATGTCACATAGAAGAGGGAGAAAGGTTGTTTTCTGCTGCTCCAGAGAAGCGGACACGGAGCAATGGATCCAAACTACAAGAAAGAAGATTCCACCTAAACATTAGGAAGAACTTCCTGACAGTAAGAGCTGTTTGACAGTGGAATTTGCTGCCAAGGAGTGTGGTGGAGTCTCCTTCTTTGGAGGTCTTTAAGCAGAGGCTTGACAACCATATGTCAGGAGTGCTCTGATGGTGTTTCCTGCTTGGCAGGGGGCTGGACTCGATGGCCCTTGTGGTCTCTTCCAACTCTATGATTCTAAGTACCTTCTGGACCAAATTATAAATGAGTTAGGCCTCAAATATCTGAAAGAAAGCCTCTTCCTTTACCAACCTGCCCATACATTTAGATCAGCAGAGGAACCCTGCTTATGGGCCTGCCTCAAGTGAGAGCTGTGGTACCTGGGTGCCCTGAAGGGCCTTCTCGGTGGAAGCCCCTCACTTATGGAATAACCTCTCCACTGAGGCGTGTGGTGTTGATGAGTGAAGACTTGCCTTCTTTGTTTTATTCCCTTCCTGCTGCCATGTAGATTTCCACTGAGATTTGTTATGGTAATTCATTATTTCTTTAAGCTTTTAAAACATCACAAATTATGGTTTTAATGCATATGCAGTCCTGTCCCAGCACAATTTGGTGAAGGATGAGATAAACATACTTGAAACAAACATACACAGTTCGGCATGTTAGTTTGGATTCCTTCTTGGCAGTTTTAAAAGAACCAATTCAAAGGACTGATGCACACTTTTAAAGCTCTAAACCCCATTGGAAACAAGTACCTTTTTACCACGGCCTTTGACTCCTGAGATAGTATATATTTTAGGAACACCTTCTTCTTTGGATTGTAAATTGCTTTAACCAATTACTTTTATGCTGGTGTATTCTGCTCACGGACCTCCTGGTGAAGGACGGGTAAGAAATCAAATAAATAGCAACAACACCTGAAGGAGCTCCATCTTCCCTGACCACCTCTCTGTGCTCATAGTTTATCTGCTGATGGCCTTCTTCAAATGCCTCCGTAGAGAATAGCCATTTTGAGCTCAGCTACCCCAGGTATGGAAGGGACTTGCTCCAAGCCGCTTGCCTGATGGCACTTTCTTTTTGGTGCTAGATGAAAATATTCTTATTTGTTTTACTTTCAATACTTCATAAATAGCTCAGGCAGCTTTTGATGTACCAGATTTTTTGCTCTATAGACTCACTTTTTCCCTCATAAAAAGTAAGGGGAAATGTGTGTGCGTCTTATGGAGCGAATGCAGGCTGCGCAGCTATCACAGAAGCCAGAGCAGCAAGAGGGATTGCTGCTTTCACTGCGCAGCGATCCCTCTTGCTGTTCTGGCTTCTGGGATTCAGAATATTTTTTTCTTGTTTTTCTCGTCCAAAAACTAGGTGCATCTTGTGGTCTGGTGCATCTTATAGAGCAAAAAATACAGTACCTTTAAGTATTCTAGACTGCTCTTTCATCTGCCAACTCATAGTCTGTTTGCAATTTTATGCATTTGTACATTTTGGGGAGATGGGAACCTTGTAACCAGCTGGAATCAAAGTTGAAAAACAATAAATAAAAATAAATGGACAGGTGGTGGTGGTGGGGAAACGACGACAAACATGACAGCTTTCTCCAGAGACCAAAAACAGTGTCATTTCTTCCTGACTGGATCTATAAATGCTGAGTTCACATGATTACCTATGAGCATGTGAGCACATATAATCTGTAATGTTAACATATAATTTTATTAGGATTACTTGTGTTTTATTCATATTTATTAGGTTATTTTATTTTATTTTAAATGATTGGTACTACCAGTTTTTTTAAAAATGAGTATTTTAGATTGCTTTATGTTAACCACTTGGTAGAGCAGTAGTCTTCAACCTTTTGAGACCTAAACCCACATCTGGAGACCCATTTCTTAACGCGCGCGCGCACACACACACACACACACACACACCGTATTTGTATGGTAGCAGTGCTGCTGTTGTGAACAGGCAAATGACCCAGTAGAGTGGCTACTGACCCACAAGTTGAAAACCAGTGACTTACAATATTTTTTACTGAAGTAGTAATACGGTAAGCCCATAACTTAGAGGTTACATTCTGGAGCTTGCACCAAAAGTCAAATTTGTGTATAGTAAAAACCCATTTGGTTCAATGGTGGGTGGGATGGCCCAAGCCATTTTTCCTGGAGCCCCACAACCTTTACATTTTAAATAAATACATTTTTGCCACGCCCACAAAGCTGAATGTGCACCAAATTAAATGCACTTAAGTTAGAATCAGAGTTGGAAGGGACCTGGAAGGGAATCCTGCCCACAGCCATCCCTGGGTGGGCTCAAACCACCAACCTTCTGGAAAACCGCCAGTTGCAATGACCTATTGCATCAAGAGGCTTCTTTACTGTATATAAATCTTGCCAAGTAACATAAGTAATGGGTGGTATTCAATTAAGCTGTACTCATGGCTAATTAATGGGCATGGCTAATCTTAGTAAGTCTAGGTAAAGGTAAAGGGACCCCTGACCATTAGGTCCAGTTGTGGCCGACTCTGGGGTTGCGGCGCTCATCTCGCTTTATTGGCCAAGGGAGCCGGCGTACAGCTTCCGGGTCATGTGGCCAGCATGACTAAGCCGCTTCTGGCGAACCAGAGCAGTGCACAGAAATGCCGTTTACCTTTCCGCCAGAACGGTACCTATTTATCTACTTGCACTTTGACGTCCTTTTGAACTACCGGTACTTGGTTGGCAGGAGCAGGGAACGAGCAATGGGAGCTCAGCCCGTTGCGGGGATTTGAACCGCCGACCTTCTGATCGGCAAGTCCTAGGCTCTGTGGTTTAACCCACAGCGCCACCCGCGTCCCCTTAGTAAGTCTACTCTTGAGTAAAACTTAGCTGAATATCACTCAATATGCCCCACACGGGCACTGTGGTCTGCTCACATTGACATATGATTGCATGAAGTAGCCTAAGGTTGCTTAAAGGGCACCATGGCTCTCAGTGGACTTACTTGTGAGTAAACATACCTCAGCTCACGCTGCCCAACTCTGATGCACACACTTTGCCATTTATTTGCTTTCACATTGCAATATATTTTCCCTTCCTGTCTTTGGTTTTTTTTTGTTTTTTTTTTACATTTTGCTTGAAATTCTGTTGGAAAGGGAGACCTCTTCGTTTCTCTTTTGCCAGCTTCCTTGCCGTTCTCTCCTTAGCGACAGTCTACCACTGGGAAATCAGAGTCAGGACAAACAAAGGAGCATTTATCCGGGATTTTCTTCCAGCCCTCCTTCCCTGCAGCATCTCCCTTTAGCTTGCTTCAACATCTGAAAAGACACAACAGGCAAGGAGGCAAGAAAAAGAAGCAAACAAATAAGGTATGTCTCTTCCCTGCCCTGTGCAAATGATCCTAGTTAATTAGTTTTCTCTGGAGTAGTTCTAAGAGCTAAAACTAAAGCCACGTGCGTTGAACCCAGGCAAGCCGAAAACATCCCAAGGTGGAGGTGACCTGCACCTCAGGCGGTGGTGGATATGAAGAGGTATTAATTTGCTTAACAGCCTTGACTAAGTAGCTGAGGAAAGGCAATCTCTTTTCTTTGTTATGAATCCAAGAGAGAGAGCTTAAAAATACAGGGTATGGAATACTACAGAGCAGTGCTGGGAAATTCTGATGTGTTTAATATAGTGAATGTCAGCAACAAATGCATTCATTGAACTAGAATATCTGAAAATTATGTGTTTGCCAAGGCAGACAGTACCACTATGTGTGATGTGAGCAGAGCAGCGAATCCACCAAGAAGAGATTCCATGAATTGACTCTTTGTGAAAACAGACCATCAATTCCATGATTCTTTAGAGGCACTAGGGTTGTTGTTGTTTTACATTAAACCCCCATTTAATTTCTCCAAAGAAACCAGAATGTACATGGATATTCTTATTTGTCATCTTCATACCCATTCTTCGCTCCATAATAATAATTTCCAGCACTGCTCTGTAGTATTGCATACCCTGTATTTTTAATCTCTATTGGATTCATAAGTGGACACACACATATGAGAGGAGAGAGAGAGAGAGAGGATAGCCTGCCTGCTTGAACCACAGCAGTACCAAAAATGATTAGCACACCTTTCTGATTCCAAGAAAATAGATGGGTGTAATTCACATCACCTCACTTACTAGAGAAGCCTGAAAATAAGACACAAGTGACAAGATGTGCACTTCAGCATTGTCAATGGGCTTCCATAGTAGCTAGAATGTGGATATTTGGTCCACAGAGTCCAAGTCACCTTTATTACTAGGAAATAGAACCTTTTTGACATGAAACAGTTAAAACTCAGGATATGAAATACACCTCTGAACACAGACCAGTACTCCAGCAGAGAGGGAGACAAGGGAGCTTGGGCAGTAAGATGGGAGGCAAAAGACACTGGAAAAATAGAGGGCAGTTTTCCATTGTCCAAATTCCCACAATTAAGGAATTTACAGGTAAGTTGTATTCTTTTCCTAAAACTTTTTCTTCTTCTTCTGTTACTTTGCTGTCATTTCTTATCAGGGTCATTCCAAAAAGCCCTAAGAATAGACTAACTTCTCTGTGTCTGCTTCTCATGCTTTTATCCATCACCATAATCCACTTTCACATTAATCTGTGATTTTGAAAAATATTTCCTAAAACTACATATTTAAATACATTAATAAATGTGTGTTAACTCAAAGCATATATTCAGATCTCTCTTTTGAAACATTTAAAATGCTGAAAATGTGTAACAAAGGGCAAAATCTGTTAAGACTGCCTATCTTAGATTATGTGCACATCTGATAAGAGAAATTAGGTTGCTTTTGTACAGGATCAAATTCTTCTAACAGATGGAGTCTAACCTTGAACAGAAAGGAGCCTTGAAAACACTGCACAGGGAGTGTGTTTTTGAAGACATCATTTGGGTAGTGTATCATCCATCATACTCAGCAATTTAAAGCAGTAGTGTTGTACCTTGGTTGATGAAAGCCTTGCAAGTCGAACGTTTTGGCTTCTGAATGCCACAAAAACCAGAAGTGAGTGTTCCAGTTTGCGAATGTTCTTTGGAACCCAAATGTCTGAAGCGGCTTCCGCTTGGCTGCAGGAGCGTCCTTCAGCCAACTGGAAGCGGTGCCTTGGTTTCCGAACATTTTGGAAGTTGAACAGACTTCCGGAACAGATTCTGTTCGACTTCTGAGGTACCAATGTGGTGTCAATTAATGCTCCCTTAATAAGTTTATAGTACAAACCATATCATATTGTTTAGAGCAGGCATCCCCAAACTCGGCCCTCCAGAAGTTTGGGGACCACAATTCCCGTCATCCCTGACCACTGGTCCTGTTAGCTAGAGATGATGGGAGTTGTAGTCCCAAAACATCTGAAGAGCCAAGTTTGGGGATGCCTGGTTTAGAGCATAAAAGCAATAGGTCCTCTGCACACACACTTTCACCTCAGGCCTCAGAAAATATGCTGGGATACCAAGAGGTAAGGTCAGCAGTAAACACTTCAATATCTTATTTGGGACCTTATTTGGTACATTATTTGGACTTTAAGTACATCAAAAAGCCTCCTTAGTTCTAATCCACACAATAGCTGAAGACACATTTTAGGATTTACTGTTTTTTAAAAGTGGCAACACCATGTCATCACCATCTTAAATACTGTAAACGATACAACAATAAATACACTTGGAACATAGACAAGATTTACGGTACTTATTGTGTTGACTGAGGGATCAAAGTGCTGGAGAGACCCTGAGTTACATCTATACCATCAGGGATAGCTACAATGGCTTAAAAAGTTTCTATCTGGTTCAAATCCTGTGCTGATTGAAGTCAAAGATGGGCATCAGCCTGGAAACAGGAGGGCTGACTAGCAGCTAGGGAAAAGAGTGGCTCAGGAATATTGGCTTCAGCACAACACAGTGGCCTGCATAGCTCTGTTAAATCCCATTGCTATGGTTAAAGTTATTTTTTAAAACACCCTCTGCTTCTGGCAGATATGACAATCTGGGTCAGAATGAGAATCTGGAATGATCTAGCAATGATTTGTGCCTTAGCAACACATTTTCCAGTTTCATCATCTGTTTCTGCAAGTCTCAGAACATTTTCTGAAACAGCCTGCTGAAACTGTAGATTCAATTTAACATGTTCACATAATTTCACTGGTTTTTTTCTGCCAAACTTAATCTACAGGAGGGCGACACCTTGCAAAGACCATCACAACACTGTGGAATTGCTAATTCCAGAACTCTGGATGAGATACTTCTAGGAAGAAAGTTCCATCCATTTCAGTTTTCTTTGTTTCTTGTGTTTCCAATCTTAAATTCAGTTCTTTACATTTTTGCAGAAAATTAACCAGCATTTTAATGTGAATTTTTCCTAGTTTTTGTACGCCATTTTCACAAATGTGCCCATTTCTGCGAGCAATTTTCCCTAGTATGCATTTCTGTATGTTATTTTCACTAATATATGCATTCATATGCACACATTCCCCTAACATATGCATATTTGTAAACATTGCTTAGGGAACTGCGTTGCGGACTTTGGGCAAGTGTGAATTTCGTAGGATGACTGTGATTCAGTTCTCATATCCTTTAAAAAATGACAATTTGGTAAGATTTGGCTTTAAATGCAAATGGAATCAAACTTCTCCTATCCATGGATAGTGGAAAAACAGGGCTAAAGGGATGAATTTGATAAAGACTGATTTTATGTCGGCACCCAGCTAAGCGCCTTTTCTTTTCTCTCACTAGCACTATTCGTAAACTCTTGCCAGGATAGCACAAAAATGACGATGCTCTCCACTCTTCTGTTTCTGAGCTTTCTGCTTGGGACCAGCCCAACACCATCTGGCCGCCTCTCCTGTTACAGGAAAATATTAAAAGACCACAACTGTCACAGCGTCCCAGAGGGAGTGGCCAGCCTTCGTCCAATTGACGGGCTTCTTCAAGATCACTTCTGGGAGGGAAAGGGCTGTGAGATGGTCTGCTATTGTAATTTTAATGAATTGCTCTGCTGCCCAAAGTAAGTAACTTCTTTGACTCTTGCTTTCTTTTCTTTGCAAGGAGAGATAATAAATAATAATAATAATAATAATAATAATAATAATAGTTTATTATTTATACCCCGTCCATCTGGCTGGGTTTCCTCAGCCACTCTGGGCAGCTTTCAACAAAATATTAAAATACAGTAGTCCATCAAACATTAAAAGCTTCCCTAAACAGGGCTGCCTTCAAATGTCTCATAAAAGTCTGGTAGTTGTTGTTCTCTTTGACATCTGGTGGGAGGGCGTTCCACAGGGCGGGTGCCACTACTGAGAAGGCCCTCTGCTGGGTGACCTTGGGCTAGTCACACTTCTTTGAAGTCTCTCAGCCCCACTCACCTCACAGAGTGTGCGGGAGGAAGGGAAAGGAGAATGTTAGCCGCTTTCAGACTCCTTTGGGTAGTGATAAAGCAGGATATCAAATCCAAACTCTTCTTCTTCTTCCCTGTAACTTGGGCTTTTTGCAGTGAGGGAACCGCCAGAAGGCCCTTGGCGCTGGACCTCAGTGTCCAGGCTGAACGATGGGGGTTGAGACGCTCCTTCAGGTATACAGGACTGAGGCCATTTAGGGCTTTAAAGGTCAGCACCAACACTTTGAATTGTGCTCGGAAACCTACTGGGAGCCAATGTAGGTCTTTCAAGACCGGTGTTATGTGGTCTTGGCGGCTGCTCCCAGTCACCAGTCTAGCTGCCGTATTCTGGATTAGTTGTAGTTCCCGGGTCACCTTCAAAGGTAGCCCCACATAGAGCGCATTGCAGTAGTCCAAGCGAGAGATAACTAAAGCATGCACCACTCTGGTGAGGCAGTCAAACAAAACTAAAGTGTATAGTTATACATGTTTAATGATGTGACCAAGTCCCACTGAACTCAACGGGGCTTACTTGCGACTTGATATGCATAGGATTGCATAGTGTCATTGAAATCAAAAGCAGAAACCCCTCCATCTATTATTACCTAACATCCCAAATGATAACAAGAAAAATGAGCCTGTTTCAAAGCTTCAGTACCAAAATATTACATAGGAGTGCTATGGTCCGAAGGCATGGCACAGGGATCTTGCCAAAAGTAAGCAACCTTGGTCAGGTCAGAACCTGGATGTACACTGTCCAAGGGAGGCACTGTAGCTCAGTGGTCAAGCATCTGCTTTGCATGCAAAAGATCCCCAGTGACTTCAGGTAGGGCTGGGAATATTCCCTGCCTGAAACCAGAGCCACTGCCAGTCTGTTTAGACAATATGGAAGTAGACAGACCAATGGTCTGACTTGGTATGTTAAGTTTCATGATGGGTCATTCTTAATTTTATTTTTATTTATTAGATTTATATACCACACTTCGTTGCAAGATCCCAGCGTGGATTCTGACTTCTGTTTTAGACCACCACCACTCTTTTTCCTTACCTAATCAACATTCAGCCTTACCTAAGGCTAGATAACAATATGTAAGCCCATTTAAGTCTTTGGTGTAACACAAACTATAGGACATACGGCCACTGATCCAATAGGTGTGTCCACTTGTTTATCATGGAATTTGGGGTAGAAACAGTCGTTCTGAGGACAGCACTGGTTATTACAAGTGCACCTCTGTTGCTGCTAATTTCAAAGATGAGCAGCATAGGCAAGATGGACAAAGGGAGGGGGTGGTATTTTGGAGGTAGCAGTGTGTGTACCGAGGTGGTGGCAGTATGGTAACTGGAACACACAACACCATGAAATCAGGTTATATGGAATAAGTAACAGGTAGGTTCGGGAGCTAGATGCTTCACATTTTCCCTTTTCCAGTAGTTCCTTTCAACTCTATTCTGTTTATCTGGCAGAAATCCCAACATAACCATGCAGAACATTGTGCTGTTGGGGAGGAAAGTAAATGGGCTTGATATTTAGAAATTGGTCAATAACCCTCATTTCCAGAGACATTAGGAATTCAGATAAACTGAGCTCTTTAAGCTCTATCTAATTCAGGGATGGGGAGCCTGTGGCTGTCCAGCTGTTGTTGGACTACAGTTCTCCTCAACCACCTGCCAGCATGGTCAATTAACAAGTATGATGGGAATTACTGTCCTGCAAAATCTGGGGGGCCACAATTTTTACATCTCGGTGTAATTCATAGGCCATACAGAGACAGTGGCCAATAAAACTAAGCATAATTGGTATACAAACAAAGAACAAAAAATGGTTTGCAATAAAAAAGGAAAAAAGAACTTAGCAGTGTTCTTTTAATGAAACAAGTGTTTGAATACTAATGGAGCTTATTCTGAAGCACCACTGCTTTTAACGGGGCATTTTTAAGTAAGTATATTTTAGGACCCATATATTATTAAAACCTCACATGTGGTCCTGAGCCTTTTAACCTAAAGTTCAGGTAGAAGCCTGGGTAATTTGCATTTAATGAAATGATTTGCCTCCAGTTTCAGTAGGGAAATTGAAAGACCACCTGGAAACTTCAATTGGTCCAAAATGTGGCTGCCTGATTACTATTGTCACCTCTCTCTTGTAAGATCTGCATTGCTTACTTACTTATTTCCTGACTCAAGTATGGGTTCTAACCTTTAAATCCCTAAATGGCTTAAAGTCAGGTTACCCGGAAGACTACCTACTCCCACAAGAGTCTGGCCAGAAGTTAAGGTCAGCATTAGTAGCTCATTCCTTCTTTACATGGAATTAGACTAGTAGGAGGAACTCAAGACAGAGCTTTTTAAATGGAATGATCACTGAATTGTGGGAATACACTCCCCATGGAGACCTACTAAGCTCCTTCCCTTTTAGTCTTCAGAGAGTTGCCGAGAACTTTTATTATTATTATTTCCAACTTCCTTTTTACATTTAGTTGCCTGCTTCTAATTTGATTGCTGGCTTTATAAAGTGTCTGCTTTTATGGTTGTTTAGTCTGTCTTTCATTTATTGTGTTTTCATTATTCTTGTAAGCCACTTTGCATATTTAAGAAACACAAGAAGAATGAAAGTATAATACCTATAGCATACTTCCCGATTTGAATTTCTGCCAATTTCTTTCAGGGGTATCTTTTTTGGGCCAAAAATATCATTTGTGATTCCCTGCAACAAGCCATGAAGAAACATTGCATTTGAGAAAGGACGGCAAATGCAGGACTTAGTTTATGAAGACTGGATTAAGCTCATGTGGTCATCAGGTCTAAAGAAGATGGAATTTGAATGCCATACGGAAGCTACTGTAACCACCAACCATTTTTTTAGGCATTCAGTGTTTTGTTTAAACAAGACTAACAGCCCCACTATGTTTACCACTCATTGAATGGGCATTACCTCCAAGGAAGTAGACTTTAGGGACTGTAAAATTAAAGTTAATAAAACCCCACATGTAGCAGAGCTCTCAAATCTAATTTGATAGTGATGTTGATGTTCATTGACCTGACCTAAGTAACACAGCACAGAAGATACACTTCTTAGGGCTGCTTGGCTGGGATTGTCTTAATAACAAAGACTAAATTAACTAAGACTAAGCTAAAGTGTTTCATATGACTGTTTTCTTTTAATTCTTGGTGTTTTAACTATTTGTACGCAACTTGAAGCATCAGTTATTACACAAATAAAGCAAGATTTAATTCTCAATTCTCTCATTTAATAGACTAAGACACTGAACTACAAGCGTATTTAATCCCATCATACTACTTTTTAAGGAGTTTAATGGTCATTTAAAGTGATGTAGTTTCCATTGAAACAGCTACTGCACACTTCACAGAAACTGTTAGCACATTTAGCAAAGCTAAGCAGGGTCTTACATGGTTTCAAATTGTATGGGAGACCACGTGTTGAGATCCCTGCACTGCAGGAGCGTGACTGGGTGACCCTCAGGGCGTCTCTTCCAGCTCTACAATTCTGATTATATTATCTGCCCTGTAGCCCTTTGATGGCAATTCTTTACATTTTGGTTTCCCCACTCCCTCCCTCCATGTCTCTTGCCATCTCTCTGAAGATGGGGCTGTTGCAACTAGTGGGACTTTACAAGCTTCTCCATACATTTCAGTTATAAAATTCTAAAGACACCTTTATGCTTTTATGTGGTTAAGGAGACACAGCTGCTATAAAAACAGACTTACAATTGAACAGCAGCTGATCACGCATGGACTTGAATCAAAGCTCCATGAACACAACACAACTTCAGCTGGTTTAGATCAGGCCACGTCTGAAAAAAATACATGACATTAATAACTTTAAATGCTTCTCATCTTTAAAGGAGAACATGGAGACATGAGTGCAGATATGCAAATTCATTTTTAAGCAAAATAAAATATGGCAACGTGTTTTTCTTTTTCAGTTTAAGTCTCATTTAATGTTCCTTCCTGCAGGGGGATTTTGGGTAAGTGTTCAGTGCTTATTACAGGACGGGGGGCGGGCGGGAGTGTGTGTGTCACTGCGACAGGGGTTGAACATTTCTTTCCTTCCCAACACTCCATTCCCCCCCAAAACTGCTTTTCTTTTCGGAAAAATGGCACCAGTGTTCCATTACATGCATTTATTTGCATGTAAAACCAATTAGATTTACTCCTCGCAACTCTTTGCAGCGTGCATTTTGCATGACATTGGCCATCAACACCCAGCCAGCGAAAGAAGTATTTGGATATGTAGAACAGGGCATGGGCAGACCTCTTTTGCTTTATCAGCAATTCTCATTCCAAGTACAGGATAAAAGAGAAGAAATTCTGTGCAACTGTGGAAGCACTAACAAACACAAAGCCTTCTTTGTGGAAATGATAAAAGGGTCGATAAAAAGTGCCTGGAGAGGAAAAAAAAGGAAAAGCAACAGATACATTTGACAACAGGAAGCATAAAATATTTTTCATTGATCTATGAAAACTCCTGAAGCTTCCAAATGTGTTTCACCTAAAAACTGCCAGGAAATACAATATAAACTATTAACAGGGCTAGCCTGCACTAAAGGCACATTGAATAACTCATAATCTGTTACAGATTCTGCCCATTAAGGTATTTAAATGCTGCTGGCATGTGTTTTATTTTTGAATAGTAAGTACAATGAGAGGAGACTAATCTTACCATCTTCAGCTCTTAAATTTTTAGCTTTCATTGTTCTAGGTAGCCACTACCCCATTAGTAAAAACATTTTATACTTATGTACCAGGGGATAATCCAACAATTTTGACACTGCTTAAGAATGGGTCAGTAAGCCGCACTGAACACAGGGCCATCCTTCAGAGTAGATATACATAGTGGGACATGCCTGCGCAACTTGTGACACTCTGAGCTGATTGTATCTCCTTAGCGCCAGCCATGATTTGTCGTCTAATTGGGAAGAAAGGCTGAAAAAAATGGGTGTTTACTACGGAGAAATAAAAGCTTGGGGTGGAAAAGCACAGAAATGCAATTTCCAAATATTTAAAAGGCTCTTGGGTAGAAGAAAAATTGCTCAATCCTATTCCTGAGACTGGAGCAAGAAATATGTTTCAGCTACCAGAAAATTAATGATAAAACACTGCGAAACTGTCCAAACGTTTAAGGGAAGCAAATAAATAAGCTGCCTGTGGCTGTTGTGGCTTATCTTTTGCAGTATTTAATTAGAAGCTAGATAGGCAGCTTTCTTAGAGCAGCGAGGGGCGGGGATTTCAGCCATTCATTCAACAGTGTGCACACCTAGCTCAATTTTCTCAGTATGATAATTGTGTTTTGCATTCATCTTACCTTTATCAATCTCAAGAGCCAATCGAAGTACTCTCAATGAAGTCTAACGCTACTGTGAAACAAAGCAGGATTAACTTCCCAAGTGTTAAGCCAAGTCTGCTTCTAGCAACACAAGAATATTATCCTCTTGTATCACAACACAATTTATGATTGTTCTACATACTGAAGTATTTCACAAAACAAATGCTGCCTGTGCAGTAAATACCTTAAAATTTATTTATAGGCAGCTCCTTTTCCACCATTTGTAATAATGATTTGTGTATGGTCAGTTCAAAAAGATGGTAATGCTTGCCTACATACCAAGACTTATTTAAATATCGCTTTGATATTCCCCCTTTTCCCCCTAAGTGCTCATTTGTCCTTCTCAAACTAGACTTTTGGCACCAGTCCATCTCTGCAGTCTGAGGTCATATTGAATGCTGTGCCTATTATGTCTGCGACTGCTCTGAATTTTGTATTATCTACAGTCTTCTGCCTAATCATGATGTTGAACAGTACAGTGTAAGGATACTAGTATCTCCCCTTGAGAAAGTTTAATACCACTGTCACATACTTGTCCAAAGTATGCTTTTTTGCAGCTGAATCGAGCAGTTCTTATTTAGGTATTACTTAGGTATGCATAGAGTCATGAGGCCACAGGAACAAACACACCTGTATAGTAATCAGCTATATTTAGGTTTCTCACATGGGGGCTAGAAGGCTATTATAGGAAGTCACCCCACCAAAAAGTTATGGTTACACTACATGTTCACTCATAAGCAAGTCCCTGTAAATTCAAGGGGACTTACTCCAGCGTGTGTATAGGATTTCAGCCTAACTTTGGTAATCTATTCCTTTTGGCAATGTTTCCGCACTATTCTGCTTCTGATCCAAAAGCATACAAAAGGGCAGGAAAAGGCTTATAGGTTTTTATCTCCCAGGTGCCTCTATGTGGGTTGTTGTAATCGGTATTCAGCCGTAAGGCAAAGATTTCACATGACGGCGAACACTACAGTACAACTTTTTTTATAACTACATGCAATTCAGCCAGGGTTTCTAACTTTCTACAGCTTTGCCTTTTGTGTCAGTGGGATTCATTCCTAAATTCTAAGAAAATGTTACGCAACAGCACAATGTTGGAGAAACTCTTGGCCTTAACTGCTGGCCAAAAAACAAGATTTATACTGACAATCAGATGGTAGAAGATGACAGTGTTATAACTTCAGCCTCACAGCAATCCTATGCATACAGTCGTACCTTGGTTTTCGAACAGCTTAGCTCTCGAACGTTTTGGCTCCCAAACGCCACAAACCCGGAAGTGACTGTTCTGGTTGACGAACTATTTTTGGAAGTCGAATGTCCAACGAGGCTTCCGATTGGCTGCAGGAGCTTCCTGTGGCCAATCAGAAGCCGCACTTTGGTTTCCGAACGTTTTGGAAGTCGAACGGACTTCTGGAATGGATTCCATCCGATTTCCAAGGTATGAATGTACTTTGCTGGAAACAAGCCCTACTTAACACAGTGGAACATATTACTGAGTAAACACGCGTAGATTTGTGCTGCATTTAAAATAGAGATTTCGGTTGCTTTTCTAATCACAAATTCAAACCCAAGTTCTCAAACTGTCAAACACTGGTTGTGGTTTTCAATAAAACAGCATCTTTAGGTATCACTTACCTTTTGCAGGCTGCATCTTGTCTAAACTGGGAGTGACAAAACATCAAATGTGAATTTCAGTACAGGTGATGGCCTTGAGAAGAGCAGGTGGTTTGAAGATAGCATGTAGGGTTGGGCTTACTCATATTGTGCACTGGCACAGAAGAGAGGAAAAGGATATGCTACACAGCAGGGCCCAAGACCAGGAAACAAGAGAGTACATTAGGCTGCACACTTGAAGATGCGTTTACAAAGACCCACTTCTACTGTATATCCAATTATCACAGTTAGTTTCTAGGACACCAATCACCTGTCATGGCTCTATCTAGAAGAAGCTTGATCCCAGCTATTTTAACTGGCAACTGGAGCATCTGCAACCCAGATGCTGTATATACACCCCCTCATCCTAAACAGAAAAGCAGATCAACTTGGAAATTGCTCGTTGGACCCATGTGACAGTCCACCTATAGTGCTGAAAACCGCTGGACCACCTTCTGATAGTCCACAGTATTACAAACAGCAGATACAGTCACTTTTCACATCACAGCTGTTATATTTAGTAAGGCAAAAGGAGTGGTTTTTCTTTTCTACTACTGAAGTGCAGAAGTCAAACAGTGCAAAATACATTACTTAAGAAAGCAATACAAAACACCATTCCCCAGTGGGAATACTATACTGGCTACAAGCCACCGAGTCCTCTTTTTTTAAAGCTACTAAAATTTGTGGGAGTAATACACCATCAATGGTTTGTCAACTATAACCCCCCCCCCAATAGGAGAAGCACTATACCAGAGCTTTCAAAACTTTTCATGTTGGTGACACACTTTTTAGACATGTATCATTTCGCGACATAGTAATTCAGTTTTGCTAGCAAACCGGAGGTTAAACTAACCCCTTTCCAGCCCTCGAAGCATTCGCGTGATACGCTAACATGTAACAACACACAGTTTGGAAAGCTCTGCACTAGACAATATACAATTTTGCTGTTTATAACTGTGGTAGTTAATATGGAACTGCAACCAAACCTTCTTTTGGAAGTATGCAAGACTCAACAGCAAATATTGAGATTCATTTTGAACATCTTGCTAAACTGTGGATTATGTTACCATAGTTTAGAACCCAAACCATAGTTGGAGCTTCTAAACACACACATAGACAAACCTTGCCTTATAGTCAGTTGTCTGCTTTCATTTTTTCTGTTCTCAGCACTTACAAGTTTATTCCCCTCTTTTATGGCAAAGCAACCTTGGGCAGTAGAGCAACAACCATACCAAGAGGTTGTCAGTTCAGGCACTGTGTTAAAACCATCAAATAGCACAAATTATTGCTTTAAAACTCATTTCAAACCATGGTTTCTGTGTCTGGTTTGCCACCCTAACCATATGTCATGGTCTGCCAATTCAGACATCAGATCAGCCCCTAAGAAATATTTCTGAACCATGGCTTGGCATGATTTTTGAACCAAACAAAAGATGACACTGAGAAGGAAAAAGCTTCAGAAAGTATGTTAAGAGCTGTGTTACACAAAGGTCTCTTAACGTATTATTCAAATATAACCACTCATCTTTGCAACTGAAGCACAAATTAATTCATCATGAAGCACGACCTTGACACCATTAGCTGTCTCCCTCCCAGCCCAGAAGAGATTTATAGGAGATAGTTTTGGAGGGCATTCCACATTTCAGCTTATTTTTACAAACTGAAAAGCAATATACAGTAATAGCCTTATACACTTGCCAGACACCATACACTTGAAGGTGCAGCAACACCAATAGTATTTATTTAAAATATTTTTACCATGGAAATATCATTTATGAGCAGTATTTTTCCCAAGAAAAATATCAGAATTCTCCATCTGAATACCAGTTACAAAGAAATCTTCAGCAAATCTAAAACAGTCTTTACACCTGCAGAGTTTCAAGTTTGCTTATTTAGTGAACACCACTGTCCATTTTTAGATCAGATTTGTTCTTATCGTTCTTCACAGAGTAGATGAAATAGGCCACAGTGTCTTTTTCATTCACCGGAATCGTCCGAAAATGACACCCAATTATCTGCAAGAAAAAATATATATCCTTGAACATAAGTAGGTATTGTGCAGATTATTTATGAAGAAAACACAGTAGAATCTAGCCTGGCTTTCAAACACAAGTTCTTAGAACTTGAGCATCAGAACTTAATAGGTGGTGCCAAATGGCACACAAGGAACAAGACACCAGTATTGTATTAGAACATTTACATTTATTTTATACTGATTTAAAGAATTGTTGTCTCACTTTCCTTGTGGAAAAAACTCCCAGAAAAGTTTTGGAATATCAGTGATAAAGCATTCTACCCTATTTTCCAAGGAATACAGAATGCTCTTCTTACATTCATCCAATGCAAAAACATATCACTTAACTAGTCAACCCATGAGATGTTCTAAATCAGTTAACAACCTGCTGCCCTCCATATGTTTTGGACTACAACTTTCATTGGCCCTAACCAGAACAGTTACTGGTGTAAGTTGTAGACCAAAACATATGGAGGGCACCAGAGTGGTGAAGTCTGTGTCCAAATACAGAGGCCAAAGTAGTGGTGGTAACTGGAAACTCTGGAGCCACTGGGAACTATTTCCATTTGTCCATTTCAGCAAAAAGCAACTGGAAGGAGCATATCTCCAACTCACTGGATCCAACATTGTCCGGTCCCTAAACAGGGAGAGAGATATAGTTCTACCAAGCAAGACAAAATAGTCCATACAAAAAGGTAACGGTTGTTATTGAAAACTTGTTCAAGAGTTCAACATTTTGAAGTGTGGAAGAACAGTGGGCTACAAAATAGTAGTACTGGTACTGGGAATTTAATTATTCAAAAACAACCTAGAATAAAAACAGACAGTGAAGTAGCCAGGTCTGTAGATGATACCAAAATACTGAGAATGCTAAACCAAATGAAACATTCCAAAAGGATCTCCAAACTTCTGAAACACCCCTAAGAATCTCAAAAACAGTATTTGCCTTAATAGCCACCCTCCATTGCTTTGTCTACATTACAACATCCAGTAATCATCTGGTAAGCAGTGAATTCCAGAAGTTGTTGCATAAAGAACTACCTGCCTGCCTTAAGCTGAAGGCTTCCTCTAGCTTTGTAGAATCTAAGATGACCCACACAATGCAACAAGCTCAAAAGAATCATTATCATACACTGTTCCACCGTTGCAGCATACTCAGCTGACATTTTCGATTAGTTTTCCACTATGTCTGCAGGACCTCTTTCTTAGCTGGTTAAAGTCAATTCAGACCTCCACCAGCATTTATGTGAATTAGCGCTCTCTTATCTCAGGCACTTTGCAGCGATACCAAATATCAACATTATGTTGCCCAGCCATCCAACTTGCAGGTATCCTTGAGGGTCCTTTACTACCTGCTTAGGGCTCTAGCATCCCAAATGATTTTGTTTCGTGTGCAATCTTGGTTACATCTCATGTACACAGTCCTATGCATGTCTACTTAGAAGCAAATCCCACAAGATTTATTCCCATTTAAAATGTTCATAGGATTACAGCCTAACCCTGTCAGAAAGCTGCATAATCATCAGTATGAAAGTGTACCAAGGAAGCAATAGTCAGCAAAAAAGAAAGAAGAAAGTCATCAGAATGCAAGGATTTGAGAACTCTAGTTCAAAAGAGCCACATAATCTAGCACATTGTTTCTTTCTTTTTACTAAAGTATAAATAAATGAAATTGCACGTACTTCAACAAGCTGTGCTTTGTTAAGTCCCGGTCTGGTCTGTAATTTGAAGTGCCTTTTGTATCTTCTTAGTGTGTTTACTTGCAACTGAAACAGATCAACCTGCAAGGGAATTACAAGATTCTGTTAACTCGAGGGCCATGTCAACGAGTTATTTTATAGTGTGCATGCTGCACAGAACTTTCTGGGCAATGTGCTTTCCCTTGGCCTCTTAAGTATATTGCATTACATGAAGCTTCTATGCCAGCAACAGCCACCACCTGGAACAGGCGGTGTCAGAAATCCTAAACTCTAAACACGGTAGATTACATGTTTTGCATGTATATCTGAAGAGGCATCTCCACCCCCATTGTTCAACCCCGACACTGAGGTCCAGCACCAAGGGCCTTCTTGCGGTTCCATCACTGCGAGAAGTGAAGTTACAGTGAACCAGGCAGAGGGCCTTCTCGGTAGTGGTGCCCACCCTGAGGAATGCCCTCCCATCAGATGTCAAAGAAATAAACAACTATCCGAATTTTAGAAGACATCTGAAGGCAGCCCTGTTTAGGGAAGCTTTTAATGTTTGAAGTTTTATTCTGTTTTTAATGTTCTGTTGAAAGCTGCCCAGAGTGGCTGGGGAACCCAGCCAGATGGGCGGGATAGAAATAAATTAGTAGTAGTAGTAGTAGTAGTAGTAGTAGTAGTAAGGTAAAGGGATCCCTGACCATTAGGTCCAGTCGCATATGACTCTGGGGTTGCGGCACTCATCTCGCTTTACTGGCCGAGGGAGCCGGCGTACAGCTTCTGGGTCATGTGGCCAGCATGACTAAGCCGCTTCTGGCGAACCAGAGCAGCACACGGAAATGCCGTTTACCTGCCCGCCAGAGCGGTACCTATTTATCAGATTGCACCTTCATAGAATCATAGAGTTAGAAGAGACCACAAGGGCCATCGAGTCCAACCCCCTGCCAAGCAGGAAACACTATCAGAGCACTCCTGACATATGGTTGTCAAGCCTCTGCTTAAAGACCTCCAAAGAAGGAGACTCCACCACACTCCTTGGCAGCAAATTCCACTGTCAAACAGCTCTTACTGTCAGGAAGTTCTTCCTAATGTTTAGGTGGAATCTTCTTTCTTGTAGTTTGGATCCATTGCTCCGTGTCCGCTTCTCTGGAGCAGCAGAAAACAACCTTTCTCCCTCCTCTATGTGACATCCTTTTATATATTTGAACATGGCTATCATATCACCCCTTAACCTCCTCTTCTCCAGGCTAAACATGCCCAGCTCCCTTAGCCGTTCCTCATAAGGCATCGTTTCCAGGCCTTTGACCACCTTGATGTGCTTTCAAACTGCTAGGTTGGCAGGAGCAGGGACCGAGCAACGGGAGCTCACCCCGTCGCGGGGATTCGAACCGCTGACCTTCTGATCGGCAAGTCCTAGGCTCTGTGGTTTAACCCACAGCACCACCCGCGTCCCTTTAGTAGTAGTAGTAGTAGTATAAAGCCCATGTTTCAATCCCCAGAAACTCCAGCTAAAGTACCTCAGCTAAAGTAGTAGGTGCTAGGAAAAGCCTGCTTCAAACATTGGATAGATGTTGTCAAAATTATTAACTAGATGGACTAATAGCCATTATGCAATATTCAGCAGCTGCCTATGCAATGATCCACACTGCACGTTGAGGCAGTGGGAAAATGCAGAGACACATTGTGAAGCAGGCCTAGTAAGGAGCTTCACAGCAAACGAAACGGAACTTCAAACACGCAACTCTCTGACAAGTATTTTGTACAGATCATACACTGGGGCCATCTAGTGCACTAGCTTCCTCAACCTGGTGCCCACTTTAGTTGTTTTGAACTAAGTCCCATCAACCCCACACAGTACAACCAACGGTCAGGGAAGATGGAAGCTGCAGTCTAACATTTCTGAAGAACAGCAGACTGCAAAAGACTGGTCTGTACCTTCATGCTCCCAACTTCTCCTTTTTTTAAAGAAAGGATGAGCTTAAATGTCAATACAATCAAGACACAATAAAGGAAACATACAAAACATGTGGGATTCAGTAATAAAAAATAATGTCTGTATCACCTGTATCACAACATCATTTTGTATGGCCTCCACAAAACATTTGCCTACATGGAGATAATACCAGGAATATTAATCTACCTCTGGAGCGTCAACATCTTGTACTGGTGAGTCACCATCATCATCGCTGCCTTTTCTCTTTCTTCTGTTTCGGACACTTTGAATTAAATTTTTGTGGAAATCACAAATATAAAGATGCCTTGCCTGAAAGTTTTTTAAAATAAAAAACAACAGGTTAACATTGGGCAGCAACAACATTCTCAAACTTCACAACTCACAAACTAAAGGACACCAGTGATTTTCAGTAAAGGAGTCAAGTGAAATTAGCCACCAACACATTCAAGGGTACCAAAAGCTGCCAGAGGAATCTTGTTACGTTAACAAGCTACTGCAGTGTTACCAGCTTGGCTCAGGAAATGCCTTTTACCACTATTTTATTCCCATTGGCTAAGTAAAAATACAGTTATCAGAAACTCAGTAAAGCCTTTTCACAAAAGTGGGCAGAATACAAGGATAGGAAAGTGACAAAAGTCGCATCTTTTTTGTTACTTCTAATAAGATTTAGTATGTTAATGGATGTAAACACTATTTCCACCTTTCAAGAGTAGATTCTCTATACAAACTTATGTTTCTTTGGATTGAAAATCCAAAATTTAGGATGCTGTGACTGAGTTAGCAGCTGCCAAGATTCTGGGCCAAAGGGGTCTTTTTAATTTAATACATCTGTACACAAAAACTGTCTTTAAAAAAACAAACAAACTAGAGAGTGTAAATGCCAACCTGAAGACACTTAACAGCATACATCTCAAACATATTTACTTAAGCCATTGCTTCCACTTGGGTTCACTACCTAGAAAGTGTGTTGAAACAGCATCCTAAAGCTGCAATCTTAAATATACTCAGTGGGGAGTAAATCCCCACAGAACTATCAATAGATTTACAGTAAAAACCCTGCAGGATTGACTGAAAATCTACTAGGAACTACTTGGAAATATCGCTTTCATAATACAAACTGAGGAACACCTTCCCCCACCAACCCTTCAAGTTACCTCCTGGTATTATATTTGCAGTATGTTATTAGCAACCTTTATTTGCTGCCAGGCATCAACAATGCACTTTTAACTGAGTCGGTAAAATAAAGAGATTCAAAATACAGTACTTGTTCGTTCCAGTTAAAAAGCGTAAGCAGAGTGTTAGCCATGCAATAGGGAGCCATGAGCCGGCAGACATTTACTCCGCAGGTTAACGTGCTCCGACTTGAGGAATGTCTGTTGTACTAAATGGTTTTTTCTCTCTCCGCCTTTCCTTTAAACACGATGGAGGGAGTGAGGGTGGGGGAAGAATGAGGAAGACAAGTCGGACGACCAGCCTTCAGGGTTTCCTACGATTGCGGGTGTTTCGCCGAAAGAGAAAGGATTATAACGAGAGAGCCTGATGGCTGCCAAGGGGAAGACGACACAGTGGCAAAAGTAGGACGTGCAACACTGCAGCACGAGGCGGAGCAGCCAAGTACTGCCCTCTCTAGAGAAACAAACACTCCATGAAGCACACACGACTGGTCCTGGGAGAAAGCGAAAGAGAACCGGGATTTCTTACGAAGAGACGTGCACACACGATCACTACGATTTGTAAAGGGGGTTGGGGAAGAAGCAAAAGCCAAACCGAAGGGGGGTGGGGAGAGGAGAGAGCAGCCACTTCCACCCGCACTTACAAAGACCAGTAGCCCAGCTTTTGCAACGTCAGCCACGCAGCCAACTATACAGCAAGGGCACACACAACAGGAACAGGGAGAAACCCACAACGGCCAGCCATTCAATGACGGGAGGCGGGGGGAAGAAAGCAGAGCAAAAAACAAATCCAACTGCCTTTTATTGCCTCCGTACTCCGGGTAAAGGGAGAGGGTGCTATAACAGCCTATCCACGCAAACACCTTTCATTGATTTCCTTCTTTCTTGTTAACTCACCCGGGGCCGGGAATGGATGGGCTGCAAGGGGAATGGGCAGGGTGATCGATGGCTATTAGCTGGGCTCCCCCTTCCAGGGCATTTCCCGGGGACTGAACGCCAGCCAGGTCGCCCAGTTACAAAGAGGCAAAAAGGCAAGGAATGCCGCGTAACACTGGGCTTCCCAAGGAAGACCATCTCGCCCATTCATTTCCCCCCTCCTCGGCTCGCTTTTGTTTCCTCCTCCATCGCAGCGTGCAATGTTAAGCGAGGAGATCTGGGGGTTACTGATGTTTTCTGTGCTTGCAGCGGGGCTGGGGGAGAGCGAAATGAAATGAGAGAGAGAAGGCGGCGTAGAACTGCGACGCCTTCGGGTGGGATCAGGCAGGCGACAAAGCTATCCCGGCAAAGGAAAGTGAGTGACCTGAGCCGCCACTTACGCTCTTGTCCAGCTCGATCTTCACCTTCTTCTGCGAGATGCTCTTCTGGATGCGCTTGCTGAAGCTGGCGTTGCCCGCGGCTCGGCTGCACCGCTCGCCTTCCTCCCGCAGGCAGCACAGCTGTCCCGCGCCGGGGCCCGCCGCGCCCGGAGGTCCGGCCGAGCCCGCCGCCGTGGCCGCAGCGGCGGACGAAGCAGCTCCTAGCCCGGCCGGCGGCTGCGGGAGGGGCGGCGGCGGCGGCAGGACTTCCACGGCGGCGGCGGCGTTGGCCACCACGGCCGGGACGGCGGCAGCTTCTCCCCCGCCGCGGGTCACTTCGTCGGGGCCGAAGCCGTTCATCGCCTACCTCCGCCCGTGCTGCGGGCTTTCTCCGGCGGCAGCCGATGCCTCGAAAGTAAAGTACAACTCAACGGGGCGGTGTTGCTGCTGCTGCTGCCCCCCGCCCCGCCGCGGACGCTCAGACGCCGCCTCCGTCGCTCCTTTTGTCAAGGAGCGGAGGGGAGGGAAGGCAGCAGCGGGCGAGGGCGCGAGAGCCACCCAGATCCCCTCCTTGCAGCCGCCTGCGCCGAGCCCCTCGGGGTAGCGGGGAGGGAAGAGTAGGGGGCTTGAACCCCGCAGCTCCAACTCTTTGGAGAGGGGGCGGCAAGCAGAAAACGTCCGCTCCGCTGCCGTCCTCCGCTGGACACCGCGAGGGAGGGAGGAAAGACACAAACACCCCTCCTCCCTGTGTATGGAAAGACTGGACAGGACGAGGGAATCGCTTCCCTTCGAGCAGCGGGTCCCGCACTGCACGCAGCCGCCCGCCCTCTCCGAGCAATCAAAGCGCTGGCCTCCCTCTCCTCCAGGCTACGGGCAGAGCAACTCCGCTTCCTTCCCTCTCATGTCATGTGCGGCGGACTTTTCAGCGGTTTCCCTGTTGCTACTGCAGCACCAGCAACCTGCCCTACTGTGTGCGCTAGGGGTGTTCTCCGCCCCCCTCCCCATTCCTGCTCCTTCTCTTTTTACCCCCGCCTTCCACAGGCGCTCATGGGGGTTGTAGTTTTTCGGCACAGCTTTCGCTCAGGTCGCGGACGGGGCCAGAGACTACAGATCCCGAAATGCACCGCGGCGCAAAGCCCCCCCTCCGCCAGGGTTAAGTATATTTACCAAAGCGAGCGAGGGAGCGAGCAGACGAATTTGCAAGCGTCTCCTCGCCTGGGCGCGCGCGCACCAATACAACAGGCCATTTTACTGGCTCGTAGCGAGGGAGATGCTTGCAAACCACGCACCAGAAAGGTCTTTCCGCTCGCCTTCCCCCAGCTCCGCCTTCTCTTAGAGGATGTGTGCAACGGGAAAGAGTTAATGCGTTTGTTAGCTTGGCTGCAAAAAAAGGAAGAAAGACGCAGTCCAAGTACGTATACGCAGCAAGCACCGCGTTCCTCCTTCCAGAGCCGCGGACGTGAGGGGCGCATTAGTTACACAAGAGGCGGCGCTTTCAGTAACCCCCTCGCAGCCGTTAGCGCATTTGAAACGGATATGCTTCGGAAAAGTTGAAAATGGAGCAGCTTGCCTCGTGCTGCTGCAGCTCAAGCCGCAGTAACCTCTCCCATTTGTGTTCATGGAAGCCCCGGCGCAGCCGAATTTACAGCTGCTGCCTTCCGGTGACAGTGCAAAGCCGAGCAACGCCGCGCGCCCGCCCCCTCCTCTCCACGGACACCTTTTGTAATCGTTACCAACAGCTCCTTGGGGCCTGCTGCATGTTTGCAAAAGCACATTCAGAACCGTGTTTGGGGAGGGAGCCTCTAGACTTGGGGCTGGGGCTCAATTTTATGAAATTTCCCTCCCCACCTCATAGACATCCATTAGGGCAGACGCCTCGGTCACAACGCTCTCGCCTCGGAGAGAAACTCCTTTTGTGTTGTCACGTGTCCGGAGTTAAATACAAAACTCGGGCAGATAATCTCCCGGCAGTTAAAATGACGCTGCCTCCTAGATCGTCGTCATTTCGAGGGGGAGAGAAGTAGGCCTTGGGTAAAAGCACTGAGGAGAGTTACACTTGAAACCAGGGAGATTTTAAGCGGCCGCGATTCTACAAAATCCTCTTTGTAAAAAATATTTGTGTGTACTCAAGTGGAATGACTGAAGAGGCTTCACAAAATGAAGCAGAAAACCCTTATATCTGGACCAAAAGAGGGTGACTCATGATACAATGGGACCCAACAATGTTTCAATTTAAAATGAGAAGCAAAGCCCCGCTTCTGTACATACTGCATTTGCTACTTCAGTCAGTGGACCCACTCAGATGTTCAGGCACCGCGGTTTCTCTCACTCTCTCTTCAAAAAACAACCACCACCAAACAGCAGCAACACATGCAGAACACTGGGATTCATAGTGCTTTATTGCATGTCCTGAAAAAAGAAAATATAATGTACAATTGCTTATTTAAATGCAGGAATCTTTCACCCAACGTGTGACTTGAACCCACAGCCCTAAGAGTTTCATGCACTAGCAACTAAGCTATCCCTCAGGGTTGGCAATTGCCAAAAAGACCTTGAAAACTTATCATTTACCATTTCTTTTCTTTAAGAGAAACTTGATGATGTTATCCATTCTTATGAGTCTGCATCTGATTCAACTCAGTGCCTTATTCTCTGAGTTTCTAATATTTTTATTTCTCTTGGTAGGTTGCTTTGCTGGGGGTGAGCCCTGAAAAGTACAGTAATTAATAACTGCAATGAATAAATAATAAGGTGTTCAAGATGGTCATCCCTGCTCAATCTCTTCGCTGCGCAAAAAGCAACTGAAAGCACTTCCAAAGGATGCAGTTCTTAGTACTTGGAATAAGGCTTTATTTGACTGAAGGAAGAATTCTGTACACTGTCCAATACAACAGCAGCAGCAGCAGCAGCAGCAGCAATGTTTACACAGGCAGTTGCCTGGAGACCTTCAGAAGGACATGAAAGAGAAATGAGGGGTGACATGCATAAATGACAACACCCCCCCCACATACTAAATGTGTATAAGTTCCATGTCAAAAGCAGAAAGTTCAGTTAAAATGTAGGCAAAGCAATATCTAAGGACAGAGCAGCTGCATCCCAATATTCTGCAAGCATTACATACTTATTATATGTCTCTGCTTTTATCTGTTGGCATTGCATAGTGTGCTTTGTTGATTTTCTCCGTGTAAAAGACACAGAACAGCTGAAAACTGCCTAGTTCACTTTCTGTCCAGATAACACCTCTCTTCAAGGATACTCTGGTGATAACATGCAGAGCCTTGAATTTTCATGTTCTGCCTATCCCATTCAATAAGAAAAAAGCATTACTATAATATATTTATTTATACTTTGCTTTTTTCCCCTGACAGGGACTCAAGGCAGCTCATATATAAAAATGAGAACTGCTAAAAAAAATAAAAATAGAAAAAGCTATCATTAAAAAGTAATTAAACCTTTTATGATGTACGGTATATACAGAAACAATGTACTGAAATGAACTCACTTGCAGGATTTGATTAAGACACAATTAACAAATATAAAATATAAATATGAGGGTAAAATGTTAAGAATATGTCAGTAAGGTAAATTTCAATACAGTGGTACCTCGGGTTAAGTACTTAATTCGTTCCTGGGGTCCGTACTTAACCTGAAACTGTTCTTAACCTGAAGCACCACTTTAGCAAATGGGGCCTGCCGCTGCTGCTGTGCCACTGGAGCCCGATTTCTCTTCTCATCCTGAAGCAAAGTTCTTAACCTGAAGCACTATTTCTGGGTTAGCGGAGTATGTAACCTGAGGTACCACTGTATACAGTATAAGGTATAGAAAACGACATGCAGAAGAAATTAATAAGTGATAAACCAGAAAGGGAAGTTGGGGGAAACCGGGGGGAGGGGAATAGAAATGTAAAATGCAATTTGTGTGTGTGTGTGTTTTATTTAGTAATGATTATGATAAATTTTGTTGGAAAAAATTAATAAAAATAATTTTTAAAAAAGTAATTAAATCTTGAAATAAGTAGAGCTATATACATATATAAAATCTATTAAGACCAAACAAATAATTACAATAGAAACAGCACGGCACCAGCTCTTTATTAAAACCAGTCTGTTCTCAAAAGCCTATTGGAACAAGAAAGTCTTCATCTGCCAGCAGGACAACAAGGAGGGAGCCAATCTGGCTTCTTTAGGGAGGGAGTTCCAAAGTCCGGGAGCAGCCACCAAGAAGGCCCTCTCTTGCATCCCTCCCAAGCATGACTGTGAGGATGCAGGACCAAAACAAGGGCCTCACCTGAAGATCTCAAAACCTGGGCAGGTTTATATGAGGGAATATGGTCTTTTGGATAGTGTGGACCTAAGCTGTGTAGGGCTTTATAGCTGATAACCAGCACGTTGAGTTGTTCCAGGAAAGAGACCAGTAGCCAGTGGAGCGAGTTGTATACCGATACTTCCTATAACCAGCTCCGCTCAATGATCTGGCTGCAGCTTTTGAGCCAGTTGACATTTCTGAGCACTTTTCAAAGGCAGCCCCACGTAGAGTGCAATACAGTAATCCAAACAGGATGTAACTAAGGCAAGCATCACTGTGACCAAATCGTACATCTCAAGAAATGGGCGTAGCTGACGGATGAGCTTTAACTGTGCAAATGCACTCTTGGGCACTGCAGAGACCTGGGCATCCGTACTCAGGGCTGAGTCCAGGAGTATGCCCAAACTGTAAACCTGTGTCTTCAGGGGGAGTCATCCAGCACAGGCTGAACCTCTATTCCCTGTTCCATCTTCCAAATGATCAAGAGCACCTGTCTTGTCTGGACTAAGTTTCAGTTTGCTCACTTGGCCCAATCCACACCATAAAAATATATTGACTACTCTACCAAGGCCATCCTGCTCCTGGAATCCTGTGGACACAAAACTACCTCAGCTTGACTTGAATCAGTTTCTATAAATTCTAATTACTTATATTTATGAAAGAGAGAGAAAACCTAATCTGACGCCTCCTTACCCTCAAACCTGGGGAAGTCACACACTTCAAAGATTTAAGCACAATCTTACGTATGTTTACTCAGAAGTCCTGCTATGTGCACATCAGATTAAAGACATAGATACCATATATTTATATCTATATACAGCCATTGAAAGCCTACTTGTAAAACCTACAAATTCACTTCCAGGAAATTCCTATACATCATCAGGGCTCCCCAGGGTATGTGGAATAAATTCCAAACTCAAGGAACAATCACTAAGAATATATCAATATAGTGGTACCTCGGGTTAAGTACTGTTCCGGAGGTCTGTACTTAACCTGAAACTGTTCTCAACCTGAAGCACCACTTTAACTAATGGGGCCTCCTGCTGCTGCCGCG